ACATAAAATTTCGCTCGCACAGATTTGGGAAGTAAGTCGTTGTAAATAATGAATTATTCGTAATGCGTTACTATTAAGTAATTTGGTAACTGCCACGTTACTTTTTGTGGCAGTAACTTGTAATCTAGTTTTGTAACTAAGTATAGTTTACGATTTACTTTCATACTCGTTATCTTTTTAGAAATATGACCATGATACAGAAATTGGAGCACTAGAAGCAGTCGATTCAGCAGCATAAAGAAGGAAGTAAAATAAAATAGAAAACAGCGCGAAGAGAGGAATAATCGAGAAGAGAACACAATCTTTTGAACTACCGCTCACTGAAACCATTGCAAAGTGTGCAAGGCATATACAAATACTATGTGAAAAACAAAGAACACGAAGACAACGCCGAACAGGCGTTGTCTTCTTCATATCTTAGAGGAGGTGGACGCTGCTACTTAGCATGCGCACGGCTATCTTTGCCGGCAAAATTCCGCGGATCGTTTCCGGTCGCTGTAAGCGATCGGGATGGCGGGTGTAGTTTCAGCTTTCACTGCCTTGTCAGCTTACAGGTGAAAGGAGTGTGCCTACTATTTATCCCTTGTTCGCAATATTTTATTTTTACAAATATGAAAACGTAACATAATGCGGGCGCATGAGAAATTAAAATGTGCTTTGCAGAAAATGTTCGAGAACGTTACCATTGTTTCTATGTTTCCATGATTACTGCACGCAAAAGTAAGATGAAAGTTATTCGTAACGTAACGATAGAAGCAATCTGTTACTTATCAGAAAAATCATTTTGTAACCGTACTCTTTGACATCTGAGGGTCGGTAGTTTGTAATTGTAATCTATTACATTTTTCAAGTAACGGACACACGTCTGCGCACGCGCTAGCACGTTTCACAGCTTGTTTTCTTACAACGTTTAAGTTGAGGTCACATAAATAATCCTTGACACAAAGAAAAGTCTGCAATCACTGTCTGAGGTGTCCACTTGTATGACGGCGCTGTCAACATTTGGCACACAACAACTGTCTGCAGACACGGTCGATGCATAGATGTGGTATAAGCCAAAGGACTTCTAACGTGTTTCGGCCGTGGCCGCATATAATTCTGTTATCATGTCTGCAGCAAACAATGTCATTTTTATGAAGAGCGAGCAGTGCGGCTGCGATTTTACGGTTCTTTAACCGAGCATGCAACCTTCACAGTTCATCAAGTATGTGTTCGCCACTTCGTAAAGAATGTGCCTTGTGCACGAACTATGGGCATTGCACCTTCCAGACACTGTTCAGCAAAGCATTGTTTACTTTCAGCTCGCCAGCAACATTAAGAACATATGTCTGGTAGAAGCTCTAGATGGCAGAATACTATCATTTAGGGAACTCTCATCAAACAATGGTGTGTTGCTAGTTCAAGCTGAAACCCTGAAGAGGTATTATCAAGCTCAGCGATGGTTTTCATGCTACATAAACTGTCTCACAAGTAAACCTTTAACGGTTGAGTTGTATCCCCTAAATGATGATTCCCAGCGGTCTGGTTTTTTTTAGGACGAAATAGTTCAAAGAAAGGGTCAATGTACAGGTTGTTTAGGCACAGTGCTTGCAGGCGGTTTAGGTTTAGAAGCATCAAGGGATAATATTGAAGCCGAAGGGTTGTCTCCTTTCTTCTATTCGCTTTTATTTTGGCGCATTCGCTTCCTCAGCATTCCAACTGCTTCAGGTTCCCAACCGGAGGTACTTTACGGAGCTCCCCCGTTGGATGAAGATCTCCCATCCTTTAATTTAATTCCGAAAAGCGCTGGAACTCTTATTCGGAAGCGCCTACTGCCAGAGCAGCCGTTATGCAAACTGAGCATCACGTGCGCGGAGCGTCTAATTGCAGTTTTGCGTTTCGGCGGGCACTTTTAAATATGTAACACAGCCGTATATGTACGGCGTCGACCGTCAAAAGGTTAATGATATTTCTACACTCTCCACATACATTCGAGTAATCTTGTATGAAAATTAATTGCAGTATATTAGGTTTGCAAGCACGAGCTGTGTGAAGTTTCATCAGTGTTGGTATAACATGTTGACTACTCCATCAGTGATGTACACAAGATCTCGTCCGTTACCAGAAGCAAAATAAACAAGTTTAATTTGCCTATTTTATGTAAGTTACTATTTAAAAGTTCTTACAGTTATTTGAACCTGCCGGTCTGCCCAGACAGTCTGACAAGGAGCCATAGAAGGTTCCATGTGAATGAACAAGATATTCAAGCTCCAGTTGGTAGTTACCATTCAAGGGCCGTTTGCAGCTTCAAACCGTGTTGGTCCAGCGATTTCTTCATTTTATTCACCTCAAAGTACACACATTTTATAGACTTAGCTGCTCCACTATGTGTTAGGAATGAAACCAAGAACCATTCACCTGAACGTTGAAAAAAAACTTCTTGCAAGCAAAGCAAAAAAAAAAAAAATGACAACGACTTTTTAGTAAAGCAACTTCCAGCATTGTTAAACTCTCATTTATTTCAGGCATAACAGACGGCAGTTTTCCTTCCTGGTGTTAAAGCCATTGCTACACCAGAGCAGTCTCTCAAAGTGCATGCACTCTTGGTAAACTTGTCAAGTAGCAAAAAGTGCCAGTCCGACAGGCTCGGACGACAGCAGATCTCTGGGAACTGACATTTCAGGATGGTGGGGGTTGCAGACTTTGGCGAATGTGACACGCCAACAGCAAGATTCCTTGCACGACACCTGTCCGTGACTTGGGATGGATCCCAAGAAGAGGCATCACTAACCTACCCTAGAAAATTAACTAGAGAACTCTCATTAAACAATGCTGTGTTGCTAGTTAAAGCGGGCACTGAGAGCAGGGACATCATATTCAGGGATGGTTTTCGTGCTACATAGACTCTCTGACAATACTCTGCCATATGGAACTTCTACCAGAAATAGATTCTCAATGTCGCTGCCGTGCTGCAAGCATTTAGAACAGGAAGCGAAAAATAGTAGATTTAGAGAACTGCGAAGACATTGGGGTATATCAAGCAAGCGTGCGCCGCGATTGTACGCGTTAGCGATATTTGACTGCAACGAACTGAGCTTAAAATGACCTATTCCAAAGCAGTCAACGTGGAGGATTGAACTGAAAGTTAGAATGCACGGTAAAAAAACTACCCGTAGATTGTCATAAATTCACTTGGACACATTCCATACGTGTAGAGGGACTCATTCTTTATGTAAAGCTGTGCACAAGCCATGTGCGCTCTCGGATACGCATACGTGAAGAAAACATGCGTACTGAAACAACATAACAAACTTGACGACAACGTAATTTTGATATACTCTCTGCCCACGTCTAATGAAACAAAACACCGACTACGGAGAAGAATTACACGTACCATGGTCGTAACGCTGGACTTCCGGTAACTCACTTGCAGTAATGGCAGAACTTATTCCCGGTGTGAACCAAAGTGCACGGTCCATGGCGATCTCGGTGTGTCTCCTCGTCAACACGGCGTAGTGCATGCACTACTGAGACGAACGCAACGCTGGGATTCACAATCAATTCGGTAACAGCATGACACCAACACAACTTTTCTTGCATAAAGGTAAATGGTAAAACGAGCACAAACCCGGAGGACACAAGCGTATCCGTCGCAGCCTCGCCGGACTCGCCACTGCGCTCTCGACGACGCGGTAGCACAATCCATTTTGAAGCGTCTTTCGCCAGCGGCAGGTAAAAGTCAATTTTGGGGGGTTTACGTGCCAAACCAACAACGGGCATTTTACACGCCCCAGCGCAGGGCTGAGGACTAACTTCGACCACCTGGGGATCTTTTGACGTGCAACCCGAAAGCGCGGTTCCACGGCGCCTTCTCCGCAATAAGCCTCCGTGAGATTGCGGGCACCTCGACCGGGATTCGATCCCGCCACGTGGTGATGCCAGTGGCAGTTACTCATAATTCATTCTTCATTCATGTCACAAACAGACTAAGGAAGACAACCGAGCCTTGTTCCCGGTACAAAGAGGCACTCATCACTATGATAAAACAAAGTCCATCGGTTTCACGCCACCATCGACGGACTCGTCCCGTTTACAGACGAAACAGCAAGGAAACGAAACGTCTATGTTTCGTCACGTCCGGTGGGGGCGGCGCACTTGGTTTACCAGTTTCCGACATAAGTTTTATTGCGATACTGTCACTCTAGTATTTTTTTAGAAGAAATGAAACATTTGCCGAATATAGCCTTCCTTGACCTATTGAATCAGGCCCTGGAAAGAGTGGACTCTAGTCAAGATAGTTACGAGTTTGGACAGGCGGAAACCGATGGCGTCTCTGGTCGCCCCGATTCGTAGATTGCCAGAACAGTTAGGAAGAAGACTTGGGTTGCCAAAGACATGGTAACACTTTTTTGGACGAGGACAAAAGAAAGAGAGACAAGAAGACAAGACAGACAGCAGACCAGCGAGATGCATGGCCACGGTCACTAAGGTGTTTTGGTTTCGTAGGCGAACATCGGCCTGCGCGACGACAAGGGGCTCACGCGGTCACGGTGCATCGAGGGCCCGGCTCCGATCGACAAGCGTGGCATCACCGCCCCGTCATCGGTGGTTGAAAAGCCTCGCATCCCTGCCAAGTCATCGGTGGGCGTCCCCGCGTGCCTGATTACGGTCAGCGCGCTTCGGAAAGGGCTATCGCCAGCGTCTGTCGACTACTTAAGCCCCTGTCGACGAACGGCACTCCGCAGACCAGCGAGATGCATGGCCACGGTCACTAAGGTGTTTTGGTTTCGTAGGTAAGCCCGACTACTCTCTGCTTCGTTGTGGGTGGGCGGTTCACATCTCGCTGGTCTGCATCCTCTCTTTTTTGTTTGCTGTGTGTTCTTTATAATGGAAGAAAGGGGTGACTGTTTGACATGTATGAAGCCTGTGGCTCCTGATGGTGCGTGCTGAAGTGTGCAGAGTGCACGAACCATTACCATACGGGGAAATGTTCCGGAATAACGACCAAAGCACTGAAGACGATGACGTCAGAGAGCATTTCCCGGTGGCGGTGCGGAACGTGCAAGCTGCATGCAGAGCGCCAGTCTGTGTCTCCTGAGGAATTGGGGAGTGTGTCAGGAGAGGGATCCCAGGAGGGGAACCTGGGAAAACTAGTGCAACAGAACGATGCTATCAATCGTAAACTGACTGCCCTCTTGATTAGAATCAACGCTATTGAAAAGTCGCTGGAGATTCAGACTGGAAAAGGTGATGAGTTGATGTCTAAGATTGAAAACCAAGGGAGGACGATTGAGGGCATTGAAGAATCTATGAACAACCAGTCAGCAAGGCACCAAGAGCTGATGACTAGACTGGACAGCCAAGACAAAACAATTAAGGGTCTAGAACAGAAGGTGAATCAATTAGAAGAGAAAATAACTCAAAGGGACGAAGAACTCTGGGCACTAAGAAAGGCCGTCTACAATGCGGAACAATATTCCCGAAGGCAAAACATCGAAATTCACGGAGTCACTCAACAACCTAACGAAAGCCTGTTAGAGGTAATTAACGACATTGCTACTAAGCTAGGCGTGCCACAACTCGCAACCACTGACGTCGAGGCTGCCCACAGACTAAGAGCAAAAGAAGGTAGACCAGCACCCATACTGGTGAGGTTCACTGAGAGGCGCACGAGAGACGTTTGGGCAAAAAAACGAGTTAGTCTTAGGAGCGAAAACATTTACATTAATGAAAACTTAACCCGAGCAATCAAGAATTTGTTGTGGACAACAAAGGCATGTGCCAGAGAAAAAAACTACAAGTATACATGGGTAAAAAATGGAAAGATTTTTGTGAGACAGAACGAGGGTGCCGCAGTAATTCAGATTGAGAGCGAAAGAGATTTCGCCAAAATTAGATAATCATGCAGTCTTCCTTTGAGTCTTTTGAGGAATGGGATGCTTACACAAAACAGTCAATAGCAAAGGACGGTTGCGGGAATACGAAGTTAAGTTTATTACATGTAAATGTGCGAAGCATCTACAAGCATTTTGATCAGTTAATGGTGCTTTTGGAGGGGCGGCTTCCTCTCCTTGATGTGCTTATACTAACCGAGGTAAATTTACACGAGGCATCTTGTGCGTCCTTTAGCCTAACAGGTTTTCATTCCTACAATATATGCAGAGAAGGAAGAAGGGGTGGGGGAATCTTATTATACATAAATAACAACTGTTTATCTGATAGAATTGATGTAAAATTGGATAATGCAGAAATTTGCGCGGCAGTCGTAAATAAGGATAAGTTCTCCTATGTAGTTTGTGCAGTTTACAGACCACCCAGTTCCAATTTAAACATGTTTTGTGATGAATTATCGAAGCTGCTTCCGAAATTCGATAACAATAAATATTTAGTTCTTGCAGGAGATTTTAATATTGATGTTTCGAATGAGTTAAAACCTGGAGTGTTGTGCTATCTTGACACCCTTTCTGCTTTTGGGCTTGAAAATGTTATTCAGGATTATACACGGGAAGAACATTACGGTAATAAAATAACAAAGACGTATTGACCACATAGTTACTAGAATAAGCAACTTAAACACATTATCTGGAGTAATTAAGCAGAAGCTTGCTGATCACTATATAACGGTTCTTTTAATATTAGGCGAAGATATACTTGGAAACCCTACAGTGGAGGACCAGTATAAAACTATACTAGATAGCAATAAAATTGATAATTTTATTCAGAAGTACGATTGGAATTCTTTGCTAGTCTATGATCACCTAACAGTCTACGAAAAGCTGGTTCACCAATTTCAGGATATTTATGCAAGCGCTACTAGAAAGGTGAAATTAAGAAAAAGAAGGCCAGAAAATATTTGGATAAATTCGGAAATATTAGAATTGTGTCATCAGAAGGAGAGTCTTTGGAAGCGATGCAAGCAAAATCCTGGTGATATCATGCTTAAAAAAAAGTTCCGTGAAATACGGAACAAGGTTACAGCCAGTCTTGGGCCAATAAAGCGTTACCAGTAACGCGTTACTGTAACTTCGTTACTTTTTTGGTAATTTGTAACTGTAACGAGTAACTGTAACTTGCAACTGTAGTTCTATTACTTTTTTCTGAGGTAACAATGAAAGTAACGACGTTACTTTTGTCGTTACTTTCCAGTTTTTTATGAATAATATATCATTGAACGAGTACAATCTAGCTATTTCTTGCACTTTCCAAATTGCCTGTTTTGACATTGCGAGTGTCACGTTGGCCTTGAAGAAACTTTTAAACACGTTCTTTCTCGCCAGTCACGACCGGAATATAGCCACGTGTAGATGTGATAAAAAGATTTAGTTATGTTTTGCATGCGTTTGTACTTTGTGGCAGAACACTTACATCTTAGTATATCTTAAAGCCATATATCTTTGTTGCGGTTGTTCTCTTTTCTGTCCAAACGCTTTTTAATCGAGGGAATCAACCGTGAAACAACAATACACACGGAGGGCACTGAGAATGTTTTGTATTTTGATTAGCGCCACTACTTCGCATTGCGCATGTTTCGTATATCGATTTGCGCCAATACTCCGGCGTGGTGCAACAGTCGAGGCAAAATTTACTGCTGTTTGCGCGGGGTTTGCTTCTTGCTCGGGTTGCGTGGGGCCTGTTCAGCAAGGGCAGGGACGTGCTCGCCATCAAACGAGGGAAACTTTCAACCACTATTTCCAAAACGCAACTGCTGCTAAGTTGCAATATAAACTAGCATGCTTTTTAGTTTCACGCAATAAAAGTTGGTGAGGGGCGTTTTGTAGTGCTTCATAAATTTTTAGCGTTATGGAAGAGTAACTTAAAAGTAACTTCGTTACATTTAAAACTAACTGTAACTGTAACGAGTTACTTTTATGTTGCGGTAACTGTAACGGTAACTTCGCTACTTTTTTACTGAAAGTAACTGTAACTGTAACGAAGTACTTTTTAAAAGTAACTTACCCAAGACTGGTTACAGCTATAATTCGTTTGGCGAAACGGAATTATTATGTAAACCAGTTTAAAGCTTCGACTAGAAATCCGAAAGAAACGTGGAACTTGGTTAACCAAATAATTGGCAGGAAAACTAAAAATAGTATTGATGATACGATACAAAAACATTTTAAAAAATCTAGTTCCTACAGCGAGTTAGCAGAAAAGTTAAACAAAATCTTTATCCAAGACGTAAAAGAAATTAAAAAGAATATACCGACGACCAGCTTAAATGACGTTTCCCCAACATGCTGCGTTAACTCAGCTTATCTTCCAGATATGACAGAAAGTGATTTGTTGCGTATCATCCACGCTATGTCAATAACAAAAACGCCAGGAATCGACAATATTCGAGTTAGAGACATACGCTTCAATTTCGATAAAGTAAAACACATTTTGCTTAAAATAGTGAATGACACATTGCATACCGGAAATATTCCTAAGGGTTTAAAAGTATCTGTGATAAGGCCGTTATACAAAAAAGGAAAGCAGCAAGAGGTCGGGAGCTACAGACCCATATCAATCCTACCATTCATGACACACGTAATCGAAAAATGGGTTCAAATAGCAATGAATAATTTTTGCGACAAATTTTCCCTGATAAGCACTATGCAGTACGGCTTTCGGCAACAAAAAAAGTACCATTACTCTACTGGAGGATTTTGCTGACTGCATTACCGAAACACTCGATAATAACATGATAGCCCTAGCACTTTTCATAGACCTATCAAAGGCATTCGATACCATCGATCATTCGTTATTGTTGAAAAAATTATATAGTATGGGGTTTCGAGGTCCTTTTTATCAATTTTTCGAGAATTACTTCAAGGATAGATTCCAAATGGTTAAGATAATGAATAATCTTAGCAGCCCGGCTCAAGTCCAATTCGGGGTGCCACAAGGAAGTACTTTGGGGCCAATGTTATTTAACATTTATATGAATGCGTTAGGGTTTCTGCCCCTTCAGTCAAAAATGTTTCAATACGCGGATGACACCGTATTAGTTTTACCACATGAAAAGTATGATGAAGCAATTTCTGTTTTTCAGAGAGACATTGATATGATAATTAGATGGTTTGCTGCGAATTTTATTTCTGTGAATGTTGCAAAAACAAAACTGATGTGTTTTCGAAATCCGCACAAACAGATAGTAACATCTCCAAATATTTGCTTGCACTCGGTGCAGTGTCTGGATTGCAGCTGTAAACCGTTAACATACGACAGTTCAGTTAAATATTTAGGCGTCTTTGTTGACGAACACATGCTGTGGAATGCGCAGGTGGAATGTGTTGTAAAAAAACTGCGAGTCATAACAGCGTATTTGTATAAACTCAAAAGTATGTGCAGCTTGAAGATAAGATTACTTGTGTTTAAATCTTTGGCGGAAGCTGCATTACGGTACGGTATTACACTGTACGGTCATTGTTCAGAATACAAAACACGAGCGATAGATAGGATACTAAAGCACATGATAAACAACATATCATATGGAACTTCATATCAAGTATTGGAAACTCAAGAGAAAGCTAAAGAGCTAGACATCCTGTTTTTTAAAAGCTTTTTCACATACGTAGCAATAACAAATAATTATTTCAGTAATTCCTACAAAACTCTCGTAAATAAAAATAGAAATTTGAGACGTACTGAAAGATACGTCATTCCGAAAATATACACACTGTATGGAAAGAAAAACAGAAATCAATACATTCCTTCTTTATTTAACGAACTCCCAGAGTCCCTTATGAATATAGATTCCACTAGGGCACTAAAAAGGAAAGTAAGGAATTGGTGTCGAGCATCTGAGCTGTAGATATCGTAGCCTGACCGTTGCAGATATTTCGTACTTTTATTTCATGGTTGCATGAGCAGACTTGGATATAAGCACCTATATTTCATGCTTCTAACGTGTTCCATTTTTGTATTTATTTGTGTTGCTATTTGGGTGTTCCTTTCATTTTTGTTTTGTGCTGCGGAGTGCTTTCTTTCTTTGTTTTTGTTACAACATGTATTCTAGTTGGTCGCCTGGCCCCACATACAAGCAGAATGCTGCTTTTGTGGGCCAGCTCTTTATTTTGTATTACTTGATCTGAAAATATAAATTGAATTGAATTGAATTGAATTTTATTCTATTCTCATATGCCCTAGCGGCTCACGTGTCTGTCAGCGTACATAGCGGCTGTTGTGAAATTGGTATGGGCTTCCAGTTTAGGCACTCCCGTTCACTACATGGCTAGAGATATAGACAGTTGGTATCTTAATAGGTGGATAACTATCATTGGGGGGACTCCGTTCGTGTAAGGCTGTAGCTTGCGCCACCTAGTCTGCCGGGACTAACTAGAATTTCTGAATTTAGGTAGAAATCGGTTGTTTAAAGGGCAACTCTAGCCATAATTCAAAGGAAATAAATTACTGGTATCGTTTTAGTGACACAAAATACGGCCCCAGCAAAAATATTACATCAAGGGGACGCCGCATTCTCAACTATAATGCCAATTATAAAAATGCGACCCGCTGCGAGCGGCGTTCCTTAGCGGGCTGCCAGCGGGCCACCGATCGCTAAAGCAACATTGGGCCGCGACTTCATGGTCGTTCTCTTACCTTTTCCCCGGTCCGGGCGGGCTTACGCGTTGCTCGGTCGAGCAGCGTAAAGTGCGCTTCTTTGAGATGCTACCGCCGCTACTTCGTCTGGTGATTGGCGTGTTTAGTCGTTGCTTTCATCTGTAGTCCGTGTAGCTTCGGTATAGCCATTTGTTTATTTGTTTCTGAGGACACCACGGCTCTTTTTGCGAGCAACACGGTGCGCACTCGCGAGCATTCTGCTGTCAGACGGAAGCACTCCCCCTGCGAAGTTCGCCAGCAGGTGGCAGCGGGTCATGTACATATGGGTTATGGCTCCAGCTATCGTCGTCTTCGATTTCTTCACTAAACAAAATGTCTGCTCAAAAAAAAAAAGAAAAAAAAAAGAAGAAGAAGCCCGCTCAGTTTGGAAATTGGCACACGACCTTGATGCGGAGATTCAAAATCAAATGCTTTATTTATCCCATATGGAGAAGGGAGGCAGAGATAAAAAAGCAACATTGGTGGGTTGTCGATATACGTATTGCATTAAATTAGTGAAAAGTATGATTCCAGCCGACCCACAGTGAAGATGGAAGGTAAAACATGCAGTCAACATAGTAGTGAACTTCGCATTACTAAGTGGCATGTCGCACACAAAAGGTAAACACGATAAAAGTATCCAGATCAATAAAGCAGTCTCTGTCATGTGCAGTGTTGAACATAGAGCATTGACGCTCCGTTGAATGGGGAATGGTGGGCATGCAGACTACAACCACTAACTAGCTCCAATCACAATTTTTTTTGTACCTTTTGAATGCGGCAAGCCTTTCCTTTGATATTTTCACAAATTAAATTCGCCACCTAGACGAACTTATGTGGTGAATTACTGTTTCATAGCTTACAAATTCGCTTTTTACGCGCCTGAGGAAAAAGAAAAAACGGGAAAAATCAAACG